ATGTATCATAGAAATGTACACTTGAAAACTATATGAACCTATAAACCAATGTCACCCCAACAAATTTAATGAAATAAAAAAAACCCTCAGAACATTAAAGACAAAAATTGCAAAGAAATATTTCCAAAAATCTGTAACATTATGATGATTGGAACAGTGTAGTAACTGTTGTGTGAAAAGATAGCTTCATGCTATTTCAAGTCATTGGAAGATGAATTTTTAATAAGTGATGTTTGTTACCTAATTGGGGAAAAGTTAAAGTTAAGTCCTGCTTTTGCACTATCTAGAAGAACAAATTCCAAAGTTAAATGTAAAAAACAAAACTAGGAAAATACTAGGACAAAATACAGATAATATTTATATAATCTGTGAGAAAAGGAAGGCCTTTCTAAGACAAAATTCAAGAAAAGTGAAGGAAACATTTTACACTCAGAAATTCAAAACTTTTGTACATAAATAATACTAGACAAGAAAAAAATCTATAAGCAGAACATATTTGCAACATATTCAACAAAAGATAAAAGTTTATGATGTGTGAAAAGCTTCCACAGAACCATAAAATATAACACAACAGAAAATAAGCAAAGGATATTAATAGACCATTTAATAAAGAAGAAATTAAAAATGGCCCATCATTTTATGAAAAGATCTTCAATCAGATGTGTAACCAAAGAAATTTGGCAATGAGATATCTGTTTTCACACTCAAAAACACAACAAAACAAAAAGATTGGTCATATTCAGTTTTGGAGAAGTGATGGAAATGAACCAACCACTGTGGAACAATTTTATCAAAATTGTATGTCCTTTTACCTATCATTCTCTTGCAGGATTTCCTGTGGAAATAGTTGCACATATGTAAAAATAAAAATGTTTATTTCAGGATTGTTTGGGGTATAACTTAAGTGATAGAGCCAGACTTTGTGGACTCTACCATCATCTAGTTTTCTAACCTAAGGCAAGTTAACATTTTTGTGTCTAAGTTTTCTCATCTCTAAAATGAGGATGCTGCAATGAACCATAAAGTTGTTATGAGAAACAAAGAAGATAATACAGAAGACAATACTAAAACAAAGAAGATAAGGTGTTCAGCACATGTCCTGGTACAATACATAGAGTTCAACAAGTATTAACTAGCATTAATAGTGAAAATTTTGAAATAACTTTATAATGTTCATCAAAATAGGGAAGGACTCTATGATGAATACCATACTATGGACTCATATATTTTTAAAAGTTTATTTTCAATGACATGAATTTGTGCTGACATAGTTTGGGAAAGATTTTAACCAGCGTGGCCCCTATTTGGTTTGTATAGTTCTCATAGCAAAGGATAGAAACAATCTAACCAAGCACATTTAGGGTTTTAATTTTTTTTAGGGTTTTAATTCATAAATTAGAGAACATCACATCCACTTGAATTTCACTGATCAAAGCAAATCACATGGACTCTGCATATTGGGAGGCACTTGAATCACATGGGGAAGGGCATGGATGTACAATCATGTTACTAGGGAGAAAGTTAATGGTAGGAAAAGTAATACAGTCTACCAAAGCTGACTGCCCATGACGTGCCATTGGGTAGATATTCCACACTGTGTGTGTGTGTTGTTCCTGTTGACCTTTAGAACCTGTATTTATGAGTCATGTGTTTGAGGAAAAACACTGTGAAACATTTGTGTGTGTATTCACCAAGAAAATGAAGTTATGACGGAACCTCAACATGAGAGATAACTCCCAATTTATTGTGTCTCCACAGGTGAGATGTAGATGTAGATACTTGGTTGATTACCAGACTCATTCCCACCTCAAGTTTGGTAAGTAGTAGAGTGTATTAAGGGAAACTTACATATGGGGTCTGTCTCAGTTGATCTGCAAGACAAAATGTATTTCCACACCATTTGACAGGTGTCAAAGAATTATACAGGGTATAAGGGGTGAATAGTAATGGGTACAAATACATGAATGCTACCAAGTATGGGAAATTACTTTACATGCTTGATCAGAACAGGACAATGTCCAGGAACCAGCATGTAGTAGGAGGCAGGAGCATGGTGCTGATTTATCTCAGAATGAATATCAATTATGGTCAAACAGTCTCTAGGCAGGGTTTGTGGTAAGCAATCTTCATTTCGACCTGTGTTTGGCTTGCAGGTCCAGAAGCAGTTACATGATGGATCAGTCTCTCCTCTTCCACACCTCTGGTTAACTCTATATCCCCTTTCAGTTACTGGTTCCAGTAATTCTTTTTCTTTTCACAGCAAAACTCTTTGAAAAAGGTGTAAGAATTCTGTCTCCACTTTCTTTCCTCCTATTCTCTCTTTTTAAATCCATTCCAGTTAGACTTTTTATTCTACAACATACAGAAATTGTTCTTGTCAAGGTCACCAATGACCACCATATTGCTCAATCAACTGGTTATTTCTCTACATGATCTTTACATTTGACACAGACATCCCACTTCCTTCTTTTTGTAACTCCTAATCATTTGTCTTCAGGTACATCACATTTTTCTCATACAATCTCACAAGCTGCTCTTATTCTCTTCTGCTGGTTCTTCCTCATCTTCCTGACTTCTAAATACTGGTTTAATTATCCAAGGCTTTGTCTCCTTTATAATTCCAGTCATCCCTCAGGTCATCCTATCTAGTATCAAGGTTTAGGGTCCATCCTATAATCATGACTCTCATATTTATATATTCTCTCCCCTGAACTTCAGACCAATCTATTTGATTATCTATTCACCATCTGAACTGGGATGTCTAATAACTTTTATGCTACTGTCAAAAATGAATTATTGATGTTTCTCAAACTTCTCATTTTCATTCTTCCCCCCTTTCATAAACAGCATCTCTATCCTATTGGTTGCTCAGGCCAAATCCCTGAAATCATCCTTTATTTCTGTACTTCTCTCAGATGCTTGATCAGGGTATCTTATAGGCTCTTCCTTTTCAACATATTGATAGTATCTGACCACTACTCACCACTCCACTGCCACCATGCTGGCCTGACAACTATCATCTCTTGGCCAGACTCCAACAGGAGTTCGTAAATGGGCCTAGCTGCTTCTACCTTTTTCCATTCTATAGACTCTGTTTCATACAGCATACAACGTAAAACTTTTATAGGCATCATCTCACAGGCTGACTTGGAGCCTCTCAGCTACCTTTCTTCGTTGTATTTTACAATAGATACCAGGCTCTCAATACACCAACAGAACACTTAGCTTATAGCTAGGACCCCTTCTCTGGTATAATGCTAAAACAAATGTAATTTAAGTTGATAATAATAAGCACCCGTTTGTTTGAGTGGCAGGTGGTTAATATTGATGCTTTAGTGGGTAAGTCTGTAGGGGAGAAAGTCAGTCAAACATAGAAACACCAATACAAAATCCATTCACAACAGCCACACAGAACAGAAACCCCTTCAGAAAAACAAGCAATGGATACACATCTATTTTAAGACTTTGAGAAAACACCCAAGTGGGAAATCAATGTAGCCCTGTTTCTCTTCCTTTTTAACATTGATCACTACATGGCTTTTATTTGCTTATTGCCTATCTCCTCCTTTAATATATAAGCTTAATTTAATTATATTGTTTGTTATTTGTAGATTCTGTCTCCAGTGCCTAAAGAGTGTGTGGCACATAGTAGGTGCTCAATCAGTATTTACAGAATGACTCAAGACACAAAATTAGCTTCACAAAACAGTGCTTTGGTTTTGAGTTTTTATAAATCAACCCAAAGTCATTTCTTTTGTAGGTCACAACCAATTTCCCTGTTCTATTTTGAGTAGGTGAGGATATGGCAAAGTGCAATTTTATTATTATTATCTTTTTAATCCTCACCTGAGGATATGTTCACTGATTTGAGAGAGGATGGGAGGGGAGGGAGGGCAAAGGAAGAGAGGAAGAGAGACAGAGAGAGAGAGAGAGAGAGAGAGAGAGAGAGAGAGAGAGAGAGAGAGAGAGAGAGACAGAGAGACAGAGAGAGAGAGAGAGAGAGAGAGAGAGAGAGAGAATATCAATCTGTTGTCTCTCCTAGGTGCCCCTATGGAGACGAACCTTGCAACCTTTTGGTGCAGGGTAGGACACTTCAATCGACTGAGCCATCAGCCTAGGGCTGAAGCGCAACTCTAATCTGAGTTCATTGAAGATGCAACCTCAAAGATTAACCTAAGTGAGAACAGTATTCTAATCACATTACCCAGAGAATAACATGGTTTCTGTTCCAACTTTGCCAATTACCATGTGCAATTTCCTCATCTGCAATGTGAGGACAATTATAGTATTTTTATGGGGTTATTGTGAGGGTTAAATGAGAATATAAATACATGTTAAGGCCTTAGGGAAGTACCTCTAACTACATCAATAAATGCAGCTATTTGGTTGTTATAATATTTGTATTGGTGGTACCCTACTAATCATAAATTACTACATTATAAATCCAAAGTTAATGTTGAGTCATGATGACCCCTAACCTAACACACTGCTTCAGTTTGCTCCCCATAATTCACTTGAGAAATCCATCTTGGCAATGACATCTTTGCGACTTTAATGTACTACGATTGGGAGGTTCCTGACTATGGCCTACAGTCAACAGTGAATAAATAAGATTTCGGGGCCCAAACCAATTTATTTTTAGTGTAAAGTGAAAGCACTCTGGCCTTTACAATCTCCCTGTCAATAACTGCAAGGCAGGGATGAAGTCTTATTGAATTCTATAGTCCCAGGTCCTAGCAGAGCACCTGGTCCTATACAATTTTGTTAAGTGAACAAGGAGCTCGTGCTAACTCCCTAATGAGTATCTCCGGCCGCAAATCGCCTACAGCGCTCTTAAGCACCACTAGAAGCACAGGAGTGAGAATCCAGCAGCCCTGGGTGCACCCACGTGCAGGAAATTCTGGGTGAGTCTGAAGGGTATAACTAACAGCTGCTATCTTCCGGAACTCAGCACCGGACGCTACGCGGAGGTGGCTGCGCCTCCGGGTCTGCCCTGCGCGTCTGGAAGGAAGTGTGGCTGGCCGGTAAGGGGCGGAGCCTCTCCGGGCTGGATGGAGAGTGCAGAGGATGCGAGAGGCCGAGGCCGGGGCGGCCTGCCCAGGTTCTTACTTCCCCTTAGGACCAAGAGCCAAGCAGTGCGGGTGCAGGAAAAGGACTTAAGGCAGTGGGGCCTTACAGGTCAGTTGCTCCGGGCGAACTTCCGCCCTGCCTGCCAGGTCTCTGGGACTAGCCTTAAAAGGGCCCGGTCCCCGGCCACGATCGGTGCTGGGCATCGCGAGTGGATCGTCCTGTGGGCTCTTTTTCCGCAGACCACACGGTCTGGTCTTTCTTCGCGCCTCTGCAGTGGGGGCTAGGCGGAGGAAGAGCTCCGCTTCGGGCCCAGTGGCCGGTGACCCCGCCTGCAAAGAGGGCGGGGCCGACGGACCTGGCAGCTCCGGGATTCCGGGCGCCAACCCTTGGCCCTGGCCTAGGTGGGGGTGGTGGGGGTGAGTAGGATCTTGGTGAAGTCTTGTCCTAAAGGGAAGACCGTTCCCTGAAGAAAAGGACGTCGTGGCGCTGCCGGGCTTGGATTTACAGTTTCTGTGCTGGCGGGTTTGCAGGCCTGGCTTGGGTGTTTCAATTGTTAGTTCTGTGGAACTATCACAACTCGGCTTCCTGCTCTAAGTGTTTTCGTTTACTGTGCACGCGCAGTTCTCGGAGAATTCTATCGCCACTGGCTAACTCCACGCTTCCCGCCCCCCCCGTGTTTTAAAGTGTGCTGTTAAACCAGGTTTACCGGTTATTACACGTAACTGCCCATTTTACACTAGTCCTTACTTTCCTAAGGTTTCCGAAGAGCAAACCTTCATTCCCCGAGGTCTGCAAGAAGCGAGGCTGAACTCTGCTTCGAAGGGAGAGCCAGTTCCTATTTCCTGGCTTGTGCATGACCTAACCTCTTCCACCCTCTTTTTCTATATTTGTAAAGTGGGGAACACAGTGCGTACTTTAACTATATGACAGAATCTTGGGTTAATAATATAGGGTGTAATGGTTAATGATTTATTGTGTGCCTCACAGAACCACATACTGTAAGGTGTTGGTACAGAGGTGAGCATAACGGGCGCTGACCTCCTAGAATTGTGGACTGACTAGGTTCTATGAGTGCTTTTAAAAAAAAAGCACAAAATAGTAAATGAAAAGTAAATACGTAGAGAGATATGGAACCTTGTTGATGGAAATGGATAAATTGGTAGTGGAGGTAAAGAAAAAAGTAGAAAACAGGTATACTAAAGTAATATTGTAACTTGAAATTTCTGTTTCTATTTACCAGATAAATTAGTATTCTGAGAAACTGTTCTTTGTGAGTTGGTTTAAAGTGCTTACTGAGCCTTCACTGTTGGGTGTCATTCAGCAGAGGAAGGGCCACTGGTTCATTTCTGGTCAGGGCATGTGCCTGGGTTTCCGATGCATCCCACGTAGGGGCACCAGCAAAAGGAGCCTGATAGATGTTTCTTTCTCACATCCATGTTTCTCTCCCTTTCTTTCTCCCTCCCTTCCATTCTCTCTCAAAAAAAATATCTAAAATCCCTTTAAAAATACTGATTTTTCTTCCTTCCGATTACAAAAGTAGTACATGATGTCTGTAGAACATTTAAGGTAATAGTCTGGGCATGAAAAAAGGTTTAATCTCCATATTTTTCTTACTGTTAACTGTTAATTATGTGTCCTGCAAGTTCGTGTTCTACACATGGGTCATATATCTTTTTTTCTTTTCTGAGTCACAGCAGGGAGCCAAGGAGGGGTGCAAAAACAGGGTCTCATGTACATATCTTTTTTTGAAACCATAATTAAAAAAATTATCACTTAGTTCTCCCTAATATCACTGTAGTGGTTATAGGTATTTCACTGTATGGAAGTGCCATAATTTAGCCAGCCTGTCTACTTAGATATTTAGCTTCTTACATTACTGCTGTTGTAAATAATATTAATAAATATCATTGTAACCAAATATTTATTAGAGTTAGGAATTTTAGAGTTCCTCAAAGGCAGCGTTTGTAGAACAAGGAGCATATAAAATTTAGGCTCATTTCTCCATACTCTCACCAACACTGATGTTTTCTAATTTGAGAAGTTAAAAATGCTGTTTTATTGTTTAATGTTTGTTTACTAGTATTGATACACTTTGATATTTGTCTGTCTTTTGTTCCTTTGTTTATGCTCCTAACCCATTTTCACTTTATTTATTTATTTATTTATTTAAATTGAGGTATTTGTTGCTTTGTAGGATCTTTCTTGCATTGACGGTGTTAAATATTTGTTATGTGTATTGGGACTATGGTTTCTAGTTTTTTATTTGCCATTTGAGTTTGGTGTATGTTTGTATTTTAGTGGTAAAGTTTAAGATTCTTTTGCTGTCAAATCTTTCAGCCTTTTCCTAGATGATTTTGCCGTTAGTGTTCCACATAGAAGGGGCTTTACCACTCTGAATTTGTAATTATTGACCTAATATTTTTCTTCTAGTATAATTATGACATCTTTATATTTTAAATTTTATTTCTCCAGAAATTTATAGAAAGAAATTTGATTCTATTTTTCCCCTCAAATATGTAACCGATTATTCACTTTTTGCTAGCTGATGACTTAAAAAATATTTTGTTCTGCAATATTTTTCTTAGTGATTCAAAAACTTTCTAGTAGGTCTTACGCCCCTTAATAGTGTTATAGATACATCCCATACATACCAGTGAACTTCAGAAATCCAAATGATCGTAATGATATGTTAGGGCTGCTTTATTTTTGGAATATGCAGACCTATTACTTGCTGCTGTTTTTGCCTGCTTTTCATTACTTCTCATTCACCTGAAAGGTGGGCAATATCCATCAACTCTTTGATGGATATTGCAGATGGACACCCTCAAATTTGTTCCTTCCTCATCCCCTATGCCTGTGTTACTGCATTCTAGAGGCTAGAAATAAAAGACTAGATTTCTCAGACTCCCTCGTAGTCTGTTGTGCCTGTGACTTGGTTTTTACAGAGCAGATAATGAGGGAGATTGTTAGGGGAAAGAGGGGGGAGGGGGAGGCTACTGTCTTGGAGGGATTTGGGTTTTCTGCATTTTTCTTGGGGACTAGTCCTAACTTCAAGGTGGTTAGATGGGTACTGAATATCCATTTAGCTGGTGTGGATTATGGCTGAGGTGGGGGTTCCGAGAGCTGACAGTTGGAGTAGTGGCCTCCTGGGTTCCCCCACTCTAAGTAACTTGTCATTTTTCTCTGGGTACTTTCAAGATATTTCATCTTTAGTTTTTAGCAGCTTAATTATGATGTGTTTTGATGTATATTTCTTTGAGTTTATTCTGTTCAAAGTTTGCTCAGCTTCTTGAATCTATAGGTCTTTTGCCAAATTTGTGGAGTTTTCAGCCCTTATTTCTTTGAATATTTTTCAGCCTCAGCCTGTTTCTTATCTCTTGCTGGGATGCCAGGGAATGAATGTGAATTTTTTGTTAGAGTCCTGCAGTCCCTGAGGCTCTGTTTATGTGTGTGTATGTGTGTTTATTCCAGAGGGGACCCAAAAAACCTGGAATTTATTTTAAAAAATTGTGTATTTTTACATGTTTAAACTTCAGTCACTTTCAAAGTACCCTCTATTGGATGCAGTGCACCTATTGAGACATTTTTTCCACTGCTCAAGACAGTTTTTGAACTCATTGATTTTGATGCCTTCTAGTGCTTCTGCCATTTTTTTGTTTCACCTTTTTTTCACATTGGTGAAACATTTCCCTTTGAGGACTTTTTTCATCCATGAAACAAAAAAAAGTCACTGCAGTTGAGATCAGGTGAATAGGGAGAGTGGGGCATAGGGGTCATGCCATTTTTTGGTCAAAAACTGCTGAACATTCAGTGCTCTGTGGGCAGATGTGCTTATAAATCAACTGTCATGAAATCGGCAGATGTGTTAAAAGAATCTTCAGAAAAAAATTCAGCCCTGGCTGACGTGGCTCAGTGGATTGAGTGCTGGACTGCAAACCAAAGGGGTGCCCATTCAATTCCCAGTCAGGGCACATGCCTGAGTTGTGGGCTACAGCCTCAGTAGGGGGTGCTCAAGAGGCAACCACACATTGATGTCTCTCTCCCTCTCTTCCTCCTTTCCCCTCCCTAAAAACAAATAAATCTTTAAACAAATTCACCGATGCTGAACGCAGCCTCCCACAATACGAACTGGCACACTGATGCGGACGGGTTCCTAGCACAATCACCTAGTGTGTGAAGCCTGTATCACAAAGGGTCTGCCCTCCAGAAAATAATTTCATTTTTTGGGCCCTCCCTCATATGTGTATATGTGTGTGTGTGTGTATGTATGTATTTATTTTTATCCTCACCTGAGGACAACATTGATGTGAGAGGGAAGCATCATCAGTTGGTCACCTCCCATATGCGCCTGTACCATAGATTGCATGTACCTGGTCCCAGGATCTTATGTGCCCTGACTGGGGGACCTATTGAACCTACAACCTAGGTATGTGCCCTGACTGGGAATTGAACGCACAATCTTTTGGCTATGGACAATGCTCCAACCAACTGAGCCATACTGACCAGGCCAAATCTTTTTTTTTTTTTTTTTTAGGAAGAAAAAAAATAGTTTAATATTTAATTGGCCAATACAGAACAGGAAGCTTGAGCTCTAAAAAACCTCAACTCCTTGATGGTGTGTAGGTTACAGATTATATAAGGCAAAACCACGAGACATCATGGGTTAGGGTTTTGAGGTCATGCTGGGGGCTGATTGTTTATAGGTCAGCTATGGGTAATAATTCATTTCTTTAGGTTTTGAGGACTGCTCTGAGGTCTTTTCCAGCATCTCTTTGTCCTGTCATGTGGGAAAGTAGCCAGAGGGGTCATCCATCTCAGGGCTCAGGAACTGAAATACAATTTAGATCAAGATGTTTTCTTTAGCCTGACTGTTAGTCAGGTCTCAGGCCACTGTCTTCTGCTGCCTCAGGGGTTGCTGGTTATCAGGTGGAAGGCTATATCTCTTTGTAGCTGGATAATCCTTTGTTGTGGGGAGCTGTCCTATGCATTGTCAGTTTGTTTTCTCTCTGTTCAGATTGACTAATTTCTATGGTTCTGTTTTATTGTTCATTGATTCTTTCTTCTCTCCATTCTGCTGTTGAGCTGACCCACTGAGGTTTATTTACTTATTTACTTATGTGATCCACTGAGGCTTATTTATTTATTTAATCAGTCCTCACCTGAGGATATGTTTATTGATTTTAGAGAGAGAACCACACATTGGGTTCTCTTAGGGAACAGAGAGAGAGAGAGAGAGAGAGAAACCATTGATGTGAGAGAAAGACATCAATCTATTGCCTCCCATATGTCCTGACTGAAAATTGAACTTGCAACCTAGATATGTGCCTTGACTGGGAATCAAACCTCCTGCCTTTTGGTGTATGGGATGACACTTCAACCAACTGAGCTACCCAGCCAGGTCAACTAAGGTTTTATTTTGTTTTGTATTTTTCAGTTATAAACTTCCATGTAGTTCTGTTTTATATCTTTTGTTTCTTTTCTGAAGTTTTCTCCTTTTTCAGTTGTTTCAAATTCATAATTTCTTGTTGAAGCATTTTAAATCATTGCTGCTTTAAAATCTGTCAGATAATTCTGACATTTGTGTCATCTGGCTGTTGGCATCTATTGATTATCTTTTTTCATTAAGTTTGAAATCTTCCTGGTTTCTGGTATGAGTGGTTTTTGATTAAATCCTGGACATTGCCCTGGCTGGGTAGCTCAGTGGACTGAGAGCAAGCTGTGAACCAAAGGTCGCCAGTTCGATTCTGAGTCTGGGTATTCACCTGGGTAGTGCGCCAGGCTGCCAGTGGAGGCCATGTGAGAGGCAATCACACATTGATGTTTCTCTCCCTCTTCTTCTCCCTCCCTCCCTCCCTTTCCCTCTCTCTAAAAATAGATAAAATCTTAAAAAAAACAAAACCCAACCCTGGACATTAGTAAATTATATTATGAGACAGCAGATCTTATTTATTTTAAAAGACTTTATTATTTTTAGAGAGGGGGGAAGGGAGAGAGAGGGAGAGAAACATCAGTGTGTGGTTGCCTCTCATGTGTCTCCCACTGTTGGGAACTGCCCTGCCTGGTTTCAGGAGCTGTAACCCACCATGGCTAAGACTGAGTGAGAGACCTTGGGACCATAAACCACTAAGGAAACAAAGCTTATCTCCTTGGCAGGGGCGCTGCCTCTGCTCCTTTTACTTCACCCTGCCTGGCCCCTGGTGCATGATTGGTTAGTCAATGGTGGGTAAGATTCCTCAAGGGAGGGATGATCTAAGACAGGCATGATCATGGGGGGACTCAGGGAAGGACTTGGAGGGCTATAGAAAAAGGGGGTGATGGATCCTCACCCCTTGGCTTTCACAAAGCCTGAGTCCTCATTCTGTCTGCAAGAAGTCTTCTAATCTCTTAGCTGCTTTACTTTCCCTGCTCAACTAAGCCTGAAACAATGCTGGAGCAGGGTGCGGCCCTGTCCTGGAAAGGATGGGTTCCCTAGGGCAATCAGGTCTAAGAAAGAATGCATAAAATAATATGAAATCTACTTTGCTAATACCCTCAATTTAAATGATAAGGGTCCAAGCAGGAAGTGAGTTTGTTCCCCAAAGTTTTATGGCCCTTTAACTATCTGACCCTGACTCAGAATAAACCCTCAGAGTTCTTTGAATGTTATCTATTGTTTAATCATTTCTGCCTGACAATGATTGATGAGCTTTATACCTGTGCAAATCGAACCCAATAAAAACCTGTTAAGGCAAGGGTCGGGGCACTCTCCTCGAGTGGCCAAGGTGCTCCAAGGTGCTCTCCCCTTGAGAGAGTGGCCGTGCTGTCCCTTTTCCTCCACATGACTCAGTAGTCCGTGTGAATTTCTTGTGCCTCATCCACAATGTGGTGGACCCCACGAGCCAGGGTCTGCATCACCCTACTGGGGCCCTGGCCTGAAACCCAGGCTTGTGCCCTCACTGGGAATTGAACTGGCAACCCTTTGGTTCACAGGCCAACACTCAATCTACTGAACCACACCTGCCAGGGCCCAGATCTTAATTTAAATCTTCTGTTTTAACAGTCTTTGTTGTATGTTGCTGTGATAGGGGAAGGGGGGTTGTTGCTTTGTTATTACCAGGTGGAAATAGAAGTTCAGGCTCCCTTTTTCAGCCTCTGTTGATGCCTGGGTATAGGGAGGGGGCTTCTCCTTACCTCTGGTTCAGAGTGATAGTAATGGCTCTCTGTTTGGTCTCCACTGAAACTGTAGGGCTGCCTTATTACCTTTGGGCAATGATAAAGGTCCTGAATCTCCACTAGGCCTCCTCTGATACCACTTATGGGGTTGGTAGTAGAGGAGGCACATTTTGATTTATACAGGTAGAATTCTAGGCATTTCTGGGTTGTTAATTTTTTCACTTCCAATCTGGGATATATGAGGCAAAAAGAAACCTGGAGCTCATCACCTTGTTTTTCTTGGATCCTGAGGTCACTAGCTGGGCTTCCTTTTCTCTCCACTTTTTCAGATTTGACTTATGTTTGTTTTCTTTGTAACATTCAGGAATTTCAGTTGTATTAGCAAGAAGAATGGGGAAAAGAAAACCTCCATCTTCCCAGAAGCCAATTTTACATGTTAATCTTCTTTGAGTATTTGAATTTTCTAACTACAAAATGGAAATAATACCTACTGCTTGGGGTCATTATAAGTATTATATGAGGTAACTTATGTAAAGTGTTTACTCTCTCCCTGGTATTTAGTAAGTGCTCAATAAAAACTTATTTTCTTTTAATGTTCTACAATTATTATATATGGCCTAGTTTCTTTTTGAAGGCTATGAGTTTAACCCAGAAAGTTATATTTTTAATAGTTAATAGTATGCTTGGGGCCTTCCCTTCCCCAAGATGGGAAGTTCTCTGAAATTGGATTTTCTGGCCCTAAGGGAGAGAGATGAGAGGCAGCAGAGGCTCCATGTGGATTGCAGACACTTCCTTCTGTTCTTGTGCACTGTTAAACACCCTCTGTGCAACATAATTTTAGTCCTAATGGCACTGTGCCTCATTTGATGCATAATTTAATCTAGTCCTGTCTCAATTTTTTTTGCAAAATTTAAATGATTTCAGTTAAGCAGGCACATGTACAATCCACGTGTTGGTGGTGGTAGTTATGTTGTATCAGTAATGCCTTATTTCCTAGAATGGACACTGGCATGAGTCTCAGGCAATAAAGAGGCCAACTCCCAAGTTGACTTTCTTGTCTGTCACGTGGATGCCGTAACACTAACAGGCTGTTTTAGGGATTTGAATATAATGGTGACTAAGTCTGCTAACAAAGTACTTTGGAAGTCAGCAAATGTTTGCATATCAATAACTTCCCAGCAGAGGATAAGGCCCAGTAAGATTCGGAGTATGGGGATTTAAGCCATATTCTTCAGTTGAAGTCTTAAAACATAGCTTGTGTGTATGTTGCAATGTCTGCTTTTTGAACTTGCTGTATTTTTTATTTCTAGGGATTCACCTACGCTCTTATCAACTGGAGGGAGTCAACTGGCTAGCCCATTGCTTCCACTGTCAGAATGGCTGCATCCTGGGAGATGAGATGGGCCTGGGTAAGACCTGTCAGGTATGTTACTGGTCACACCTGTCAGGAGTGACAGCTGCTCACTGTCACTGAAATATCTTCTTACAACTCATTACTATCTTTGACTACTTGTATATATTTTTATACTAGGTGATGAAATACCTGAACTTTTATTTAGAGATCATGACCTTGGAGCTGACTTTTCTAGTCATGGGGATAGTTTTGAACTGTATCAGTATCCTTATCTTAGCCCTTGACATGTAGGACTTTGGTTACTGGGCAGGGTTTTTCTCTTGTAAAACAAATATACATGTCCCAGGGATCAAAATGTTTCTGTCCTCCTTAGCAATATTTTATTTAGTTAAGTTAGCTGGATCACTTATAATATTAAACTCCCTTAATCAGTGAGTAGTAGGGCCACTTCCTATTTTTCTGGCATGCTAGAAAAGTACAGAGGAAGTACCCTATGTTTTCTGAAATGCCTGGGACATGGAGAATCAAACATAGCCTCTTTAGATATTGATAAACAGTGGTGTGTTGAGATAGATGCTTCTTGGTTGGATGATTACCAGTATAATCCCTGGGTTGATATATGTCAGTAGAAGGCTTGGACTGATAGAAAGTACAGACACAGACACCCCTTGAATTAGTCATAGAAGGTCTACTTGTTTGTAGGATACCAGAGAAAGTTACTGCAGTCAGGATACACAGCAGATGTGATTTTATTAGAAACTGTGGACATATGTGTAAAAGGTTTCACCAGAGAACACACAGAATGAGTGAAGGTCTCCTTAGTTCTTTTTAGAAGCTCAAGTGCTCCCTCCAACTCTAACCTTACATACACAAGTATGAAGCTGAAGCAGGCCTGCAGGTAAACTAATCTGACCATGTGTTGGAGACTAAGGCAAGTACAACTCATTAATTTTAGGGTTATTTAGAATACAGTATGATCTGTAAGTATGGTCATATGAGGATATTTCTCAGACATACAAATCCGGTTCTAGTGTATTACTGAACTGAGAGCTGTGGAACTAGAACAAAGGTAGGTTACCCAATGTTTCTGGGAACCAGGCTAACAGACTCTTGGACCAGGTACATGGCTTTCCTTGCAGCCTCCTTTTCCTTGGACGTTGGTATTGCTCTGACTTCTGCAAATTCAGAGGAAGCACATTTCACTTGTCCTATGCCTTTTCCTAGGGTGTTCATGTAGCTCTACTTTTAAGTGCACTAAAAATATCATGCCTCCAGATTCATCTTGTTAAAATCTGGTTTAGAATATTTATATCTATGTTCATAAAGCATATTGGTCTGTAATTTCCTTCTTTTGTAGTGTCTTTTTCTGGTTTTGGTATAGTGGTAAAGCTGGATCTAGAAAATGAATTGAGTATTCTCTCCTCTTCAGTTTTTTGAAGTTTGTATAGAATTGGTTTTGTTTGTTCATCAAATGTTTGGTGGAATTCCTTAGTCAATCCAAATTAATTTTGTTGTTATATCTGGTTTAGAGTAATACAAGGTAATTGTTTTCTAAATAATATCCTCAGCAAAGGCTAGGCAGAATGGCTGTAATGCAGTAATTACTTAATTGTTGGGTGATTTTTCTGGACACAGTCTGGATTGGAAAGCAATAGATAAAGAAGAAACTTATTTCCACTATAAAATTAATGTAATCTCAGTTAAAAATAACTACCACCCCATAAGCAGAGTACTGTGGCCATAACTAGTAGTATATATTTAATAAGGGTTGAAATTACAGTGTACTTATAGTATAATTATAGTGTACAGTGTACTTTGTATTTTTGTACTCTAACACTATCATTGGAATTTTCCATATTCTATTCTTCACAATCATTACTTTTTTAATTGAGGTATAATTAACATATTAATTTTAGGTATACCACGTAATGATTTGATATTTGTATATATTACAAAATGATCATCATAGTAAGTCTAGTTAAACATCAATTACCTCATTTTGTTGTTTTTTTTCCTACCACTCCAACCCATCCCAGCCATCCCCATCACCCACCTTCCATTCTTCACCCCGCTTTGGCTTTGTCCATGTGTCCTTTACACATGTTCCTTAATGACTCTTCCACTATTTCCCTCCATTATCCCCTCCCACCTCTCCTCTGGTTACTGTCAGTTTGTTCTTAATTTCAATGTCTCTGGTTATATCTTGTTGCTTGTTTGTTTTGTTGATTAGGTTCTACTTATAGGTGAGATCATATGGTATTTGTCTTTCACAGCCTGGCTTATTTCACTTAGCATAGTGCTCTCTAGATCCATCCATGCTGTTGTGAAGGGTAGGAGCTCCTTTCTTTCTGCTCTGAAGTATTCCATTGTGTAAATGTACCATAGTTTTTTGATCCACTCATTTACTGATGGGCACCTAGGCTGCTTTCAGCACTTGGCTATTCTAAATTGTGCTATTATGAACATTGGGGTGCATAGGTTCTTTTGAATTGGTGGACTTAGGGTATAATCCCAGGAGTGGAACTGCCAGGTCAAAAGACAGTTCCATTTTTAGTTTTTTGAGGAAATTCCACACTCTTTTCCATAGTGGCTGCACCAGTCTGCATTCCTACGAACAGTGCACTATGGTTCCCTTTTCTTCACAACCTCCCCAGCACTTGTTGTTTGTTGATTTGTTTATGATGGCCATTCTGACCAGTATGAAGTGATATCTCATTGAGTTTTTAATTTGCATCTCTCTGATGGCTAGTGATGCTGAGCATCTTTTAATATGTCTCTGGACCCTCTGTATGTCCTCCTTGGAGAAGTGCCTGTTCGTGTCCTTTGCCATTTTCAAATTGGATTATTTGTCTTCATGGTGTGGAGTTATGTGAATTCTTTATATATTTTGGAGATTGAACCCTTGGCCAAGGTATCATTTGTGAGTGTATTTTCCCATACGGTTGGTTCCCTTTTTCATTTTGCTGATGTTATCTTTAGTTGTACAGAAGCCTTTTATTTTGATGAGTCCCATTTGTTCATTCTTTCCTTTATGTCCCTTGCTGTAGGAGACATATCAGTGAAAATATTGCTGCGTGGAATACCTGAGATTTTCCTGCCTATGTTCTCCTCTAGGACTTTTATGGTATTGCGACTTATATTTAAGACTTTTATTCATGTTGAGCTTGTTTTTGTATATGGTGTAAGTTGGTGATCAAGTTTCATTGTTTTGCATGTAGCTGTCAAGATCTCCCAACATCACTTGTTGAAGAGGCTGGTTTTACTCCATTTTATGCTTCTTTTCCCTTCATCAAACATTAATTGACCATAGAGATGTGGGCTTATTTCTGGGCTCTCTGTTCTATTCCATTGATCTATGTGTCTGTTCTTATGCCAGTACCAGACTATTGATTATAGTGGCCTTGTAATATAGTTTGATGTCAGGTGTTGTTATCCCTCCTACTTTGTTCTTCTTTCTCAAAATTGCTGCAAGTGAATAGTTCATGGGTTGTTTATGGTTCTATATAAATTTTTGAAATGTTCTTTGTGAAATATGTCAGTGGTATTTTAATAGGGATTGTGTTGAGTCTATAAATTGCTTTGTGTAGTATGGACATTTTGATGGTGTTAATTCTTTCATTCCATAAACACAGTATATTCTTCTATTTATTTGTGTCTTCCTTAATTTCTTTCTTCAGTGTTGTATAGTTTTCTGAGTACAGTTATTTTACCTCCTCAGTTAGGTTTATTCCGAGGTATTTTATTTTCCTTGTTGCTATATCAAATAGGATTTTTTTCCTGATTTCTCTTACTGATATTTCATTGTTGGTATACAAAAATGCCTTCACACAATCATTATTTTTTATTGGCTATTTAATATTCATCAAGAAAAGTGATTGTAATTTACTTAAATGTTGTACAGTTGAGGAATGGTGAGCTCCCCTCTTTTTATTCTACTTAAATTAACCTCAGTGTGAACACCATTGGGTATTTGCTTTCTCAGGACTTTGGATTATATCTTTAGAATAGATTTTCTCAGAAATAGAGGGCTTCCCAGACTTTTTGTCGTATGAAATAGAGCCATTTTCTCTGTATATCACAGCAACCTTCTAAAGAAACTTCTAGTCAAAAGTGTGTACAGATATATCCTACAGTAGGCCTATTTGGCTTTACAAAGTTGTTTATTTTATACCCCTCTTGAAGCTTATGAGGCATTATTTATTGTTTGTTTTGCTCACTAGAATGTTTATTCCATTAGAACTAGTAGTTTTATCTGTTTTGTCACTGTTACATACCAGAGCTCAGCACCTGGTAAATAGAAGGTGCTCTATAAATGCACACAGTAGAGAGGAAGTTAGGAAGGAAAGAGAGCCTGGCAAGCAGTGGAGGCCAGCTACCACAAGGTTGGTCATTTTTACAGTTATATCTTGACACTATTTTTTATAGTATTCCTGTTCTCTTGTGCATTATTTGCATTGTTTTCATTGATTTGTATTGTCTTTCCTGATTTTTTTTCTTTGCATTAGAGGTTCAAGTGCATGAATATTAAGTACCCTTGCTTGTTACTATTGATATAGTTGAGTGCCATAGATTTCTTTGGCATTTACATTGAAGCTTACATGATTTCACTCTAGGAATGGATGACTCTCTTAATGGGTACATCACTTTTTTTATAGATTAACTCTTAAGTGAAAGTTTGTGTTCTTTACAAGATTATGGTAAACTTGTGGTTATTTGTCATGTGGAAATGTGACCAAAACTACCTTCTTTTTCTGTGTTTCAGACTATTGCTCTCTTCATTTACTTAGCAGGAAGATTAAATGATGAAGGACCATTTCTGATTCTTTGTCCCTTGTCTGTTCTGAGCAACTGGAAAGAAGAGATAGAGAGGTACATAGTAGATGTAGCTGAAATTTTATTTTTTGCATTAAGATTTTTTTCTGAGTGATATGTGAAATATGATAAAACAACATATTGTCCTAAACAGTGAGTTTATTTCTTCCAGAAAACTCTTATCTGAGGTAATGTAGATGAAGACTGAAGATCTGATGGGGAGTGGGTCCAATGGGTGTTATTGTTACTATTTGGAAATTTGAAGGTTGGTCCTCATTTTTAGTTAAATTTTGCTGAGCTAAAGGAGAAGCCATCTTTTTCATAGTGACATAGGGAGTAACCAACATGGAAAAAATACTTTTGTTTTTAGAGTTAGTACAAGGCCAATTTTTTCAGATGTTCATCTTACCCTTCCACCTCTTCACACAGGGTTTTGGAGTCCCAAGACTCTTTGTGTTTGTAGGGCACCATGAGGCCTGTGTGTCTGCAATCCTCCCATGAAATATAGTTTTCCAGATATGCATGCCCTTTTCTATTGCTCTGTGTTTGTGTTCATCTACCTTTATTCTTGGATTCAGATTTGCTCCAGGTCTTTCCTGTATAACATACACAGGTGACAAAGAGGAGAGAGCCCACCTACAGCAAGACCTAAAACAGAAGCCACATTTTCATGTGTTGCTAACTACCTATGAGGTATCCATTTGTTTCTCTATAGCAAGACCTCTTAACCTGGGACCTTAGAAGTTGTAGAATCCACTAGAATTATATTTAATGAGCAAACATTTTTCTGGGAAGTCTACTTTATTTAGATTCTCAGAATGGGGCTGTGACCAAAGGAAGTGAAGGACTACAGTGTTCCAAATTAGTTAGATATCTCCCTCTCTTTCCTGGTGTGTTGAAGGGGAAGGCTTTCCATGGAAGTGGCACTGAAGCTGCTTCTTGGTCAATGAATAGAAGGAAAGTTTTGTGGGCTGAGTCATTGTCCCTGTAACTGGAGGAAGGGAATGGAGGACACTTGGCCCATTGTGTAGTCCTTGTTCTTCATGCTGAGATGGGGTCATTATAAGCAGGACTTACTCCTGCTTCCCTTTTGCTTGTCTGTAAGGTACTGCTACTTAGAAATTATGCTCATAACATTTTTTTTACTTAGTGAAAGAGTAAGACTTAGCTAACTCCTGTAGTTTAGGAGTGTTAGCTAGAAACTAGCTCATTAATATCAGATGTATACCAGTACCAGCCTTTATAATGTATTTTCCTTAATTTTTCCAGATTTGTTTGAAAGATACATCATTCCTAAAATCGTGAGTATGTTGCACTTCTTTAGAAATTGTGTTGAATGTATCATGACAATCATGTCTTTCCATTTTAGTACTTTGCTTCTATCCTGGTATGCCTGTCTGCCATGAGTCTTATTTACAAAGAGGTAGCATAGCGGAAGTCCTACAGTCTAGTTCCCTACTCATTAGCTGCATGTCCTTGGGTTAGTTACTTAATCTCCATGAACCTCAGCCTCTTCATGTGTAAAAGGGGATAATTAAATCTCTTACTTTGGGTGGTTGTTGTGAGGATTAAATGAAATAAGGGTTGCATGGTGGGTGGTTAACAGATACTAGATTCTTTAAATTGCAACTTCAGGACTGTTGGTGTTTTGACTATAATAAAGGAGGTGACTGATTTTAAACCTTTTCCTGGAAATATATTAAAGTAGCCACCAGTGCGACAAAATTAACTTTTTAGAAAGGGAATTTTAAGTTGATTTCTAATTAATAAGCTTGCAGCCTTCATATGAGCTTATGAAGTATAGGAAACTTAGATTTAACTCTTAGTACCACCTGGTAATAGGGATGACATGTTGTGCAGTATGTGGTCAAGATAATAGTTACAATGTAGATTACACAAGAGCTAGACTACTGGTAAATAAGAAAAGAAAGATATGTTACTTTTATTCTTCATTGCATGTGTATTTATGACATGGTTAGGTGGGGATTTTCATCTTTAATATTCAAAATTAACTTATTTTCAGAGTGCTTATTAATATTTTAAATGTTACGTCTCATTCAGGTTCTTTTGACTTGGATTTCTTCAGCTTTTTTAAAAATACTAAAGACTTAGTCATAGATTTCATGACTTCCATCAAGTGTTTTTTTTCACTTTTCATTTAAGTCAGCATATGATCTTGTTTTTCATTAGAAGAGGCTATGCTTTAACCCCCCCCTCTTTAAATTAATGTTCAACTTAATATTTGTTGAAGATCTCTCCTCTGGAATGACACTGTTCTGGGAGTCATCAGAAATACCAGGAAGGTAAACCATAGAGCACCCTAAGAGGACTTAAACTCTAGGAGAGCGATAAAAAATACAGATATCCATAATACAAGGCAATATATGGGAAGTTTCAAAGTATGAGAAGATTGGGACGTAAATGTTATTAGATATTTTATGTAAATTAACCTATTTAGTCTTCATGAAAACCCCAGTAGGCAGGTATTGTCATTTGTTTTATAGGCGAGGAAAGTAAGAGATTAGGTAACCCATCTACTAGAAGATTGCAGACTGCACATCCAAACCCAGCACTTGTGCTGTGGAGCCTTTTATTAAGAGAGCTTCCCAGAGGATCTAGGTATACTGCAGTTATACATGGTTCAGCAGAAATACAGTCTTTCTATATCAGATTATCTGTCTGGAATCTATTCCAGGTGAATTTAAAAACTTAAATAATGAAGGGACATTTATAATGTTGACTCATGATATGAATCCCAAAAATACAGATACATTCTTTTGATATACAGGGGTGGACAAAAGTAGGTTTACAGTTGTGAGTACACAAAACAGTTTATTCTTGTATTATTACTTATTAATTATTGTATTATTTTTCACACAGACAAGCGTAAACCTACTTTGCCCCTCTCTTTGGCCAGGTTACACTGTGTATTATACTGTATTGCACACTCTAGAACAGCTTGGGAGTGTAATGTAATTTTTGCCCTAAAGAAATTTATTATGGATAATTAAGACTGCACATGTAACAATAGGAAAAATAGGATTTTTTTTTTTGATAACACACAATAGACTTATACAGTCTTTGGCTTAAGAAAGTTAGATGTTTCCTTATCCTACTTTATTCAGTGCAAGAATTTCCTCCACCTCTTTCTTTTCACAGAGCATCCTTTAGAGTGTCCTTTGATCAGTGCTTTGACCTACTTCCTTTCATTAAGCCAAAATCCACCTCCCTCTATCCTGTTTCATTGAATAAGCTTTTATTGGATCCTTGCTGTGTATAAAAACCTAAATATCTGGTTGTTCACAAGGGAACAGGACCTAACCTCTCTTGAATGCTAATTCAGTCAGGCACAAAGCATTATACTGTAGCTGTTTTCACACCTTATCTATGACTTGTGTCTAATTTCATCTGGACCTTTGTTCCTTATAATTCTTAAATGCCTCTCCAGCTCATGCTTTGCAGTGGGAATGATCCCAATTCCTGTGTTCTCTTTGGACCCCCAATCTCCCTCCACCTATACCACTCTTAGTAGGTGAATGGTACTAGGTATCTGTTTCTGTACCTATTTTCTGGATTTTCTCTGTAGCCTCTGATGAAGAGGACTTCCTCCTTGTAAGGCCAACCTCTGCTCAAGATCTTTCTCTAATTTTTGAGGGATTTTTATTTCTCTGCCCAATAGTCTGTTTTACTTGTATATACAGTTAATTTTTTAAATGTAAATTGATATAATTGGATTACAGAATGTTTATGAACAAAAAGTTAAAAAAATCATGTAACTTCCACTCTATCTTTTGTATGGTTTACACATTTGTATAAAAGGGTATGTAATATATATATCTTTTATAGTTATGTGGTTACCATATCTTCTTGCAACATAATCATCTTTATTATTTAAAATGCTATATAATATTTCATCACCTATAATTGGACCTATTATTATTTTTAGGGGTTTTTTTTGCTGTTTTAAATAATGCACGTGGGAGCATTTGCAGACATACATATTTTTTTATATTTTGAGTTATTTTCTGGATGAATAGCTTCCTAAGAGTGTTTGACTGAATCTCTTAAGAAATTGTAACCTACTGTGCTATAAAATGTGCTCTGGTAGTCAGTAACTTCCATTTTAACAAATCCAAAGGATGTATCTTCCTAGACATCTGTAACATTCACCACTTCCTCATTTGTAAACCATACTTTTTAAACTACTGTGACACCATTGTCTCTTGCCTTTTTTTCCTCAGTCTGAATCTCAGCTCTGCCTCATAATACCTTTATGACCTTAACTAAGTCACCTGACCTTTCTGAGCTTAAGTCGCCTTGTTGGTAAAATAAGCACAATAAGGTCTGTTCACCATATTCTTTCAGATTAAATAACATACATAAGAGCCAAGCTCAGTGACTGGCACACAGTAGGGGGTCATAAATGTTTCCTTTTTCTTTCTGTCTCTGGCTTCTTACCTTCTGCATAGGTCTTTCTTACCTTGGAAAAAAATTACTCTAATTTTAGTGCCTTAACTGGATTTTGTCTTATATATATGACAGGCTGTCAGGTAAGAAAACAATTTGAGTGTGTTTCTGATAGAATGGGCTTCATGTTCATCTTCCCAACAATAGTCACAGTTCTGTATTAAGACTTTTGGATGTGAGATACATGTTTGACTTACACAAAACTAAAAGTTGGATTTTCTCTCACAGTTTCCATTGGAGTATTCTTGTTGTGGATGAAGCTCACAGGTTGAAAAACCAAACCTCCTTGCTGCATAAGACACTTTCAGAGGTAAGCTCATAGGATAATCTTAGGTTTTATACAACTCCCTTTTAAAATATATTAGTTTTGGCTTGTAAAGAGCAAATTAAGTTGAAACATTATTTTCTGTTGCATTTCTTCAGGGATGAATGAACATTTTGTGGGTGACAGCAGAGGTACTTAATGGCTTAACTTATTCCTCTGTCTTTTACATGTTTACTAAAATCTGGTTATCCGTGAATAAGTCCCTACTCCAGTAAAATACATTGTATTTTTGGAAATGTTTGAATTCTCTTTAAAGGGGAAATTTCTTTAAAAATAATTTTTTATAATTCTTCTGTCTGTAATAGCAGACATAGGTGATATATTGTACCTCTGTCCACATTTACCTGTTTAAAAAATGTGATGGTTCACACATAGTCACAAAGCAACAGATTTCATGCCATTGAATATTACTTTGAGCCTTTCTTTCTCATTTGAGTATGACACCCTTGATGTCATTTCCTTTTCTTGATCTCTGACATCATTCTGGCAAAGTAGTTGAGAAAAGTCACTGTAGCCCAAAGTTTGCCATTTTCTCTGAGGAGCCAGTGGAACAGTTAGTGCATATGAAGTACCTTTCTCCTTGACCAAATAAAGGCTTGTTCATTCATGAGACCACATGTCTGAATTTCTGTGACCATTGTTGAAGTTTGGTTCCTGTCCTGTAAACAATTAATAAATTTGGAGATCATTTGGAGAGAAATATTAGATCTAAATTTTATATTTACTGGCTAAAAGTTTCAGTTTTTAGCATTTTAATGCAGATATGGTCACTATTATTAGCCCAGCCTCAGAGATTGCTATCCCCTAGTGAGTTCCCATCTGCTCTATGGTCCTTTGATTTCTTTTCTTTTTTTCCATGTTTTATTTATTTTTAGAGGAGAGGAGAGAGAGGGAAAAGGAGAGGGAGAGAAGGAGATGTGGGAGAGAATTGATCAGTTGCTTCTCACACATCCCTCAAACTGGACCTGGCCTGCAGCCCAGGCATGTGCCCTGACTGGTATTTGAACTGGCGACTTTCTGTGTTATAGGCCTTTACTCAGTCCACTGAGCCACACCAGCCAGGGCCAATTCCCCACTAAATCATAGTGTGGTCTTTCCTAATTTTGAATTTCATAAAAATGGCGTAGATGCATTTTTAAAATTAAGAAGAGACATAATTGTTTCACCTTATGGTTTTTTCCAATTAATATATCGTGACTATTTCTCCATGTCATCATTTTTTCAGAAGTTATTTTTCATTGCTATGTATTTGACCATATGTTTCAAAGTGATTTGTTTAATGATCCCTCAATTTTTGGACATTTGTTCTAAACTTTGTTCTAAAAATTTGCTATTTTAATATACTTTTATTTGCCTTATTTCATATCTCTCTTTTTCTTATTGTTGTTCAAGTACAGTTGTCTTCATTTACCCCCACCGATCACACCCACCCCAGCCATCCCAACCTCCCGCTCTTGACCTTACCCCACTATGGCTTTGTCCATGTGTCCTTCAGGACAGCGCCCCCTTCCCCAGCCCCCACACTTACCCCCCTGTTATCCCCTCACCTCTCCTCTGGTTACTGTCAGTTTGTTCTTCATTTCAACATCTCTGGTTATATCCTGTTGCTTGTTTGTTTTGTTGATTAGGTTCTACTTATAGGTGAGATCATATGGTATTTGTCTTTCACTGCCTGGCTTATTTCACTTAGCATAGTGTTCTCCAGATCCATCCATGCTGTTGTGAAGAGTAGGAGCTCCTTCTTTCTTTCTGCTGTGAAGTATTCCATTGTGTAAATGTACCACAGTTTTTTTATCCACTCATTTACTGATGGGCACCTAGGCTGCTTCCAGCACTTGGCTATTGTGAATTGTGCTGCTATGAAAATTGGGGTGCATAGGTTCTTTTGAATTGGTGTTTCACGATTCTTTGGGTATAATCCCAGCAGTGGAATTACCGGATCAAAAGACAGTTCCAGTTTTAGTTTTCTGAGGAAATTCCATACTGTTTTCCACAGTGGCTTACACACCAGTCTGCATTCCTACCAAGAGTGCACTATGGTTCCCTTTTCTCCACAACCTCACCAGTACTTGTAATGTTTGTTGATTTGTTTATGATGGTCATTCTGACCAGTGTGAAGTGACATCTTATGGTAGTTTTAATTTGCATCTCTCTGATGGTTAGTGATACTGAGCATCCTTTCATATGTCTCTGGGTCATCCTTCTTGGAGTAGTGTCTATTTGGGTCCTTTGTCCATTTTTTAATTGGTTTGTTTGTCTTCCTGGAGTGGAGTTGTGTGAGCTCTTTATAAATTTTGGTGACCAAATCCTTGTCCGAGGTATTATTGGCAAATACATTTTCCCATATGGTTGGTTAGTTCCCTTTTCATTTTGCTGATGTTTTCTTTAGCCGTGCAGGAGTTTTTTTTATTTTGATAAGATCCCATTTGTTTAATCTCTTCTTTATTTCCCTTGTTGTAGGAGACGTATCGGTGAAAATATTGCTGTGTAGAATATATGAGATTTTCCTGCCTGTATTTTCCTCTTGCACTGTTATGGTGTTGCAACCTATATTTATGTCTTTTATTCATCTTGAGCTTATTTTTGTATATATTGTAATTTGGTGGTCAAGTTTCTTTCCTTTTTTTTTTTTTCTACATGTAGCTGTCCAGATCTCCCAACATCATTTGTTGAACAGGCTAGGTTTATTTCATTTTATGCTTCTGCCCCCTTTGTGGAAGATTAATTGCCTGTAGAAACTCAAGTTTATTTCTGGGTTCTCTGTTCTGTTCCATTGATCTATGTATCTGTTCTTATGCTAGTACCAGACTGTTTTGATTACTGTGGCCTTGTAATATAGTTTGATACCAAGTTGTGATCTCTCCTATGTTGTTCTTTGTTCTCAAAATTGTGGCAGCTATTCGGGTTCGTTTATGGTTCCATGTAAAGTTTCAAAATGTTTGTTCTATATCTGTGAAATATGACATTGGTATTTTAATAGGGATTGCATTCAATCTATAAAATGCTTTGTTTAATATGGACATTTTGATGATGTTAATTCTTTCAGTCCATGAACACAGTATATGGTTCTATTTATTTGTGTCTTCTTTAATTTCTTTCTTTAGTTTTGTGTAGCTTTCTGAGTACAGGTATTTTACCTCCTTGTTTAGGTTTATTCCTAGGTACTTTATTTTCCTTGTTGCTATATCAAATAGGATTTTTTTCCTGATTTCTATTTCTGACATTGCATTGTTGGTGTACAAAAGTGCCTTCAATTCTGAATATTGACTTTGTATCTCTCTGTCAAATTCACTTGTTAGGTTGAGTAGTTTTTTAGTAGAGTCTATCATGCCAAATAGAAACAATGATAGGTTTGCTTCTGCTTTTCCAATTTGGTTGCCTTTTATTTCTTTTTCTTGTCTGATCGCTGTGACTAGGACTTCCAATACTCTGTTGAATAGGAGTGGTGAAAGTGGACATCCTCATCTTGTTCCTGATCTTAGTAGGAAAGCTTTTAGCTTTATCCCATTGAGTATGATGCTGGCTGTAGGTTTCTTGTATGTGGTCATAACTATGTTGAGGTATGCTCCCTCTACTCCCACTTTACTGGATGTATTTTATGATAAATGCGTGCTATACCTTATCAAATGCTTTTTCCTCATTTGTTGAAGTGATCATGTGGTTTTCCTCTTTCCTTTCGTTTATGTGATGTATTACATTTACTGATTTGCAAATATTGTACCATCCTTGTATCCGTAGGATGAACCCCACTTGATCATGGAATATGATCTGTTTAATGTATTTCTGGATGCAATTTGGCAATATTTTGTTGAGGATTTTAGCATCTATGTTCATCAGCAATATTGACCTGTAGTTTTCTTTCTTTGTTGTGTCTTTATCTGGTTTTGCAAGTAGGATTATGCTGGCTTCACACAAAGAGTTTGGGAGCCTTCCTTATTCTTGGAATTCTTGGAATAGTCTGTGAAGGATGGGGGTAACTTCCTTCTTAAATGTTTTGTAAAATTCTCCTGTGAAACGATCCAGTATAGGGCTTTTGTGTGCCGGGAGTTTTTTGATTATTGCTTTGATTTTGACAGCTGTTATTGGTCTGTTCAGGCTTTCTGATCCTTTTTCATTCATTTTTGGAATATTAATTTTTCTCGAAATTTGTCCCTTTCACTGAGGTTTCAAATTTCTTGGCTTAGTGTTCGTAGTAATTTCTTACACTCCCTTGTATTTCTGTGGTATCAGTTGTAATCTTTCTTCTTTCATTTCTGATTGTGTTTATTTGGGTCCTCTCTTTTTTTCCTGATGAGCCTGTTAAAGGCATGTCAATTTTGTTTTATTTATTCAAAGAACCAGCTCTTGGATATATTGATCCTAAAATTATTCATTTAGTTTCTATGCCATTTAATTCTGCTCTGATCTTGGTTATTTTCTTCCTTTTTCTCACTCTGGGCTTTGTTTGTTGTTGTTCCTCCAGTTTTTGTAGGGATAGGGTTAGGTTGTTTGTTTGAAAGGTTTCTATCTTTCTTAGGTGGGCCTGTATTGCTATGAACTTCTGTCTCAGGACTGCCCTTGCTGTGTCCCATAAATTTTGGATTGTTGTGAGTTCATTTTCACTTGTTTCCAGAAAAGTTCTGATTTCTTCCTTGATCTCATTCTAAACCCATTCATTGTTCAAGAGCATGCCATTCAATCTCCACAAATTTGAGTGCTTTTGAGTTTTTTCCTTGAGGTTGGGTTCTAGTCTTAGGCCCTTGTGGTCAGAGAGAATGCTTGGTATGATTTCATTTTTCATGAATTTGCTGAGGCTTCTTTTGTTTCCTTTCATGTGGTTTATCTTTGAAAATGCTCCATGAGCATTTGAAAGAATGTGTATTTTGCTTCTTTGGGATGACAGGTTCTATATTAAAATTCTAGATCAAATTTAAGTACATTTGATCTAGGGCATTGTTCAATGCCGAAATACCCTTGTTGATATTTTCTTTGGAAGATTTATCCAT